TAATGACTTGTACCAACATAGATGAACTTTCATGCTAAATCACGAATTACTACTAATCATCATTACAACATCCACTTTGAAAATATCTTCTAGAACATTTCTTTTCGGATGTAGCAACGTAATGCAACATCCCGAAAGATGTCCGCGGAGACAAAAACACCGATCTGAGTAATCAGGTTAATCAACTTTGACCTTTGGTCTAGATTAATGTGATCTGTTAAGTCCGCCATTTTGAGCCGTGCGAGGGTGTCTTTCCTATTCAATTTGAGGAGACCATTTTCAACTTACTTTTACCATTTATCAACTCTGGACAATTTTGATAGACAGGTAAGACGTTTGTTGATCAATAACTCTTGCTGTGTTGCGGTACCGCAGCAAAATAGCGCATGTCAGGGGTGACATTCAATTGGAGGAACTTGAATTGTAGGTATGTGGGTGTGGGTGTGGGTGGGGGGGTATGTTTAAGGTACAAAGATCTGCAATATGTTGACGCAACTGATTTTCGTAAATGCGGCCAAACTGAAACTAGGGGTGTGATAGTGTTGTGTTGTGTTGTGTTGTGTTGTGTTATGTATGACTGGAAAAGGTGGAATTTGCTAACAGTTTGACCCAAACAAGGCAACCGATCGTATTTAACCGAGAACTTACAAGTTGATGTCGATAAGTTGTAACACAGCAGACACTTTAACAGGAAACTCTTTGTGATTATTTCTAAGGTATAGTAATAAATTATGACATGGAAGTGATTCACAAAAAAGATGTCAAATTTTCTCTACATTGTATATCTTACTGTAGGACAAAAAAATGGATGAGCCAAGCACCTCTACTACTACAAGTAGACAATCTGGGAATGAGACAACAAGCAGCGAGGACAGAGGGACGTTTCATTTACCTGACGGAGACACAAGCATCGTGAAATCCACAGCGCCCGACAAGGAAACTTCGCCACAGGCCCATACAGGACACAAGGACACGCCTAAAGCACAAGACGTTATAAAATCACCCAATGGACATGTTTGTGGTGAGTGTGGGTACAGGGCGGCCCATAGAGCTCACCTTGTCGTGCATATGAGAAAACATACAGGAGAGAGACCCTTTAAATGTGACCAGTGTGACTATTCTGCCGCATACAAGGGCAGTTTAAATCAGCACAAGTTGAGACACACTGGGGAAAAACCTTTCAAGTGTGATCAGTGTGATTATTCTGCTACACAAAAGGGCACTTTAGATCTGCACAAGGTCACACATACCGGAGACAAACCCCACATGTGCTGGATGTGCGGACACAGGACAGCCAACAGGTCTCACCTCATTATACATCTTAGAAAACACACAGGTGAGAAACCTTACAAATGTGACCAATGTGACTATTCAACCGCACAGAAGGCCAGTTTGGATAAGCATTTGTTTAAACACAATGGGGAAAAGCCCTACATGTGCGGGGAGTGCGGATACAGAACGATAAATAAGTCTATGCTATCAGTGCATATGAGAAAACATACAGGAGAAAGACCATATAAGTGTGACAAGTGCGACTATTCTGCTGCACGGAAAAGTACGTTGGAACAACATGACATGGCGAAACACACTGGTGAGAAGCCTTACGTGTGTGGGGAGTGCGGATACCGGACGCCTAAGAAAAGTAAGCTAACTGCCCATATGAAAAGACATAGGTGTGACAAAAAGTCTGCAGCTTCTACCACTGCGGATAGTTCGCACCAGTCAAATTAAATATAGTTCGCCTCGTCGCAAAGTAATATATTATTATTAGATTTATTAGGTGAAACATTTAAAAATGTTCATGTAGATAAGTTATCCCATGCACACATGCTACGTCCATGTCTTACTAGTAAGGCCATGTTGATTTGATTATATGGATGACATCCGCGCGCGCATGAATTTTCGGCCGTTTCCAAAAAAAAAAAGTTTTCAACCATACTGTAAATCGTGCAAAACAGTTGCTAAATGAGCAAAAATATACCATAAGTTGCAAGGTAAACATTTAGAAACGATACCAATGTCGCAGAATGCCAAAATCAAAGGAAAAAAGACAAAAATGTAAAGAAATGAATTCGAAGAGTAGATTATTCGCCATAACATATTCTGTGCCATTTGTTCAACCTTCATGACCACGTAGATTTCATAGTGAATGCAACTTTTTTTTTTGCAATTTTTTTTTTATTCGCACGCGCGCATCAGTTTTGGGGTTCCCAGAGGATGTCATCCATATAATCAAATCAACATGGCCTAATTGAATAATTTATGTTGTGGCTTGTGTTAATTTTTGGATCTTGCGTAAAAGCTAATGATATTATGAAATATCCATACTTAAGAATACCATTAATGATTTTCTTGCAGTAGTAGTGTTGGGATCTTACTTGTCTTTCCTTACACATATATTACATTGTCAAATGCACATCCATTACCTAACACTTGGAATAACCTGTTATTCCCTTTAGATTTTAGGTAGCTGCCAATTTTTAGAGCGGTGTATAAAGATAAACAAAAACATTTAAATTTTACCCGCATTATTAGTGTTACTACCAGAAGGTTTGTTATTGGTATATAAATAAATATGTATATATATGTAAACATATGTATTACCTTACCAGAAGGAAAACATTGCTTTTGTTCTCTTTTATCTTCTTCTCCAAACAAATAAGGTCAATGACCTAAACCGGATGTCTGTCACCATGGTAACTGCAACATGGTGTTGGGTTACATCATGTTGCAATTAGCAGGAGGGATTTAGACTCGTGTCACAATTTATGAATGTGTGTGACTATAAGAATTAACAAAACATACAATATGCTAACTAAAGGTAAACATTATGAATTTGCTTTGGAAATGTTACATTAATCTCTATTTAAGGATAGGTCACTAGATAGATAAATGCACTGATACAAAAGAACAACACATTGCATTACGAATGCAGTAGCTGTGATTAGGAAAGCTTTATGGGAGATCTAAGTCTAAACGTTTAATCACTGTCCAGCAGTCATCGTAGATATTTACCCAGACTAGAGGCTTTTATGATTCATGGCAGGAAATAAAGGTGCTTATCTCTCTCTTTTGGACTGGCTGTGTATGTTTGCGTGTAATCTTTAAGTCCCGTTGTGAAATGAGCTAAGGCCTGACTTCAACTAGCCTGGACTAGCCTGGCCTGACCTGTCATCACCGTGATGACATTGCGTATAAAGTGCTTCTGCAGTGGTTTAAGGCCTGGTCACAACCCGCCGTACGTGCTTCTGCGTGCTGCCTACGTGCAAAAACGTGGGCAAACGTAGGGCATCCGTGCGTGGTGAGCACCACCTCCGTACGGAATCCTACGGATTTTGGAGCACCCAGACACGCCGTAGAACTTTAAGTGCATGTAAAACTATGGATTCACCACCCGTGCGTGCGAGTATGTTGTGAAATAAGATAATATAACGTTATATACAAATACCTCGTAACTATTCATTATCATCATTACAGCATCTTTTAACAACAATTGAAGAAACTCTTTGATAAACAGGTGTTTATTTATAAAGCTGATACAGCGCACAAAATTGCAATATCGGGCAAGATGTCCATAGATAAGCGACGGTCACAACCCGCCGTACGTGCTTTTTCTCCGTACGTTTTTTGGGAGGCTACGTCCGCTACGTTTTTCTGAAAACGTGGGGAAGGAGTGGCGTCTACGCACGTCACTCGCACGTCACTTGCACGGTTGCGCAAAGTGTAAGAGTGTGGTCTGCACGCCAAGTCTGGCCGTAAGCGGTTGCGTGCATCGTACGTTGCGCAAGTGGTAAGTGAGTTGTACGTGCTTACAACGTACGATCTCCGTGCGATTGCAACTTTACCGTAAGGAAGCCGTACTCACACGTGCTTCTTCCGCACGACACGTACGGGGCACGCACGTCGCTCGTACTCGCACGCACGGGTGGTGAATCCGCAGACCGCACGTAGAAAAAGTTTTACATGCACTTAAAGTTCTACGGCGTGTCTGCGTGCTCCCAAATCCGTAGGATTCCGTACAGAAGCGGTACTCACCACGCACGGATGCCCTACGTTTGCCCACGTTTTTGCACGTAGACAGCACGCAGAAGCACCTACGGCGGGTTGTGACCGTCGCTATACATAATCCTAGGTTTGGGTAATCAGGTTTGTCAACTTTGACCTTTGCCTTTTGATTATGCTTTGCCGCCATTTTAGAAAAGTCGTTCGACGGGTGTTATTGCTCTCAAATCTTAGACGATTTTTTAAAACTTATTCGACTGTCAATCTACGCTGAGCACTTGTGACAGACAGGTAAGGCATTTTCTTACCTCCTAAACTCGCTGTGTCGCAGCACTGCAGCAGGTAGTTAAAATCAGGGGTGTAAGTCGGGGCTAAAGTTCCAATGGAGCCCTCAACCAATTGAGGTTTCCACGAATTGGGAAGAAGAAGAAGAATGGGGGAGGGCATATCTCGATAGTATGTGAGGGCAGAAAGATTTGCATAATAATTTGTTTACGCATCTGATACACCAAGAAAACCTCTTAGGGTATGAGGAAATAAGCTCCTTAATTTAGCTGTACACTTTTAAGTGCACACTTTTAAAAAAAGTGTGTAGCATGTGTGTTTTTCAACCACCTTAAAGCAAATGCGTGTACGTGCTTTATATGGTATGGCTAAGGAGGATGCTATTAAACTGCCGGGTTTTGGACGGATACTAGTATAATAGTATAGTATAGTATAGTATGACCCCGATTTCTGACCTATAGCAGTTGTCAAATAAAACCGACCCACATGTCGAACCTCTCTCAAGTTCCTGATATTCCTTTCGTTTCTTCCCAAACAGACAACAAAGATGAACGAAACTGAGGAGAAACCTTTGGAGTGCGAAGAGCGCAGTTTTAGGACAACTCCCGAGTCTTGCTTTACTATAAGTAGCCCAAATATAGAACAAAAACCACGTCAAAGTGCATCATCCATGAGTGCAACATCCAAAGTACATCATGCATCAAAACACCTTGGTGAGAAACCCTACATGTGTGGAGAGTGTGGGTACAGGACAGCTGAAAGATCAGTCTTTATCCGACATATGAAAACCCATACAGGTGAAAAACCCTTCAAGTGTGACCAGTGTGACTATTCTGCAGCACAGAAATCCAATTTGGATCGTCATATAGCAAAACACACAGGAGAAAAAGCGTACATTTGTGGGGAGTGTGGGTATAGGGGGACTCAAAAGTTTCATTTATCCCGACATATGAGATCCCATTCAGAAGAAAAACCCTACAAATGTGACAAGTGTGACTATTCTGCCACACTAAAATCCAGTTTAGATCGTCATACAGAAAAACACACAGGTGAAAAACCCTACATATGTGAAGAGTGTGGATACGGGACAGATAGAAAGTCCAACCTATCCGAACATATGAGAACCCACACAGGAGAAAAACCCTACAAGTGTGACCAGTGTGACTATTCTGCTGCGCGGAAATTCACACTAGATAACCATAAAGCAAAACACACAGGTGAGAAACCCTACATGTGTGGAGAGTGTGGGTACAGGACGACTCGAAAGTGCTTCTTATCCCTACATATGAGAACCCATACAGGTGAAAAACCCTATAAGTGTGACCGGTGTGAATATTCCGCTGCATTGAAGTCCACCTTGAATCTTCATATGGTAAAACACACCGGTGAGAAACCCTACATGTGTGGGGAATGCGGATACAGGACAACTTTAAAGTATACCTTATTCCGACATATGCAAACACATACAAAACCCTACAAGTGTGACCAGTGTGATTATTCTTCAGCATCGGAATCTGCATTGAAAATTCACCTGGTAAAACACACTGGTGAGAAACCCTACATGTGTGGGGAGTGTGGATACAGGGTAAGTCAAAGGTCTACCTTATCCAGTCACATGAGAACCCATATAGGTAAAAAGCCTTCCAAGTGTGACCAGCTTGACTATTCTGAAACATTTAAGTCCACTTTGGATCAACATCTAGCAAAACATAGTGATTAGAAACCTTACATCTGTTTGGTGTGTGGGCACAGGACAACTCAAAAGTGTCACTTTTCCCAACATATTACAACCCATACAGGAGAAAATCCCTACGATATATGTGAGGAGTGTGGATATATGGCAACTAACAAGTGTAACGTTTCCCGACACATGAAAACCCACAAGGAAGAAAAATCTTATAACTGTCATCTATGTTGCTACTCAGCAACTAGAAAAAATCAACTGTCTGCACATTTGAGAAAACACAGGAAAGAAACTGAAGTTAGCCATACAGGAGAAAAACATGGAGAAAGTGCGTCAGCTCAGAATTCAACAAAACACAATGATGAGAAACCCAGGATGTGTTGGGAGTATGGGCAGAGGGCTTTTAACCCTAAACAGTACACCTGGGGTCCGCGCGGACCCCAGCACTATATATTCTGTAATATCTTTTTTGTTTCTAAAGATTTTTTTCTGAAATTTTAGGTAATTGTCACCCACAAAGTTGTCTCTCAATACAGTGCAGAAAACTCCGTTTCTACAATTTATAAAAAAAATTATATCTGATTTTCTTTTGGGGTCCGCGCGGACCCCAGCCGGCTTTCGATCATAATGGATACACTGGCGTTCTTATACATTGCCTTATTTCCGTTTTTATGTTTTTATGCACTCATCGTATTTCTACCAAGTTTTCAGAGAATGGTGTAGTAATAGAATTAAATTTTAATAACTTTGCTGTAATTATGACGTCATATGACGTCAGAGCTAATAATATAGTCCGCCATATTGGATTTTGACCAATGACGCCATCAAATTAGCATATTATATGCATATTAAATGATTTAACTTTTATTTAATTATGTAAGATGTTATTTATGTTGGAAAAGAAGTGTAATTTAATATAAAACTCAGAAAATGTTTATGTTTAAACTAAAATTACTTCTATTTTCAAAAAAGCTGCCTGCTAGAAACCCGTTGCCATGGCAACACAAAAAACATCAACTTACTAGTATTAAACTAATATGAACTTTTTTCCAGAGACATTTTAGGAAAGGTCTCCAAATTTGATACTTCTAGCGCAAGCCGTTTAGCCGCTATCTGAGATCAAAGTTGGGCCTCTAAAGCCCCATCAGTCTGAAATGGGTTTAAAAATCGGGTATTTCTTCTTGTCTTCTTTTCTTCACCAAAAAATAGAAAAAGTTCAAAATATATGATTTTTGTACGTAATGTGGACACAGAGGTTCCCACATCAATTTCCAAAACAATTGAGCTGGTAGCATGTTGATAATTTCTAAAAATTAGCCAAAAACTGTTCTGGGGTCCGCGCGGACCCCAGGTGTACAGATTAATCAGTCCGGGAAGGTGTTCTGTTGAGGGTTAAAACATCAGACTTATCCGAAGTAATGACAACTCATACTGGAGAAAAACCCAACAAGTGTGACCAAAGTGATTATACAGCCTCGGTGGAATCTAATTTCATTCACGGCTTTAGATTTGTATTGGTATCGTACTCTAGGAAATAAAGATAGTTAAATCCGTTTCGAACTACTGTACATGTTTATTGTATTCATTTAGTCCTCGTTAAATGTGAAATAAGATAATATAACGTTATATACATATATCTTCGTAACTATTCATTATCATCATTACAGCATGTTTTAACAACAATTGAAGAAACTTTTTAATAAACAGGTAAACAGGAACACTAAAATCCACTTTGGATCGTCATATAGCAAAACACACAGGTAAAAAACCCTTCATATGTGAGGAGTGTGGATACAGGGCAGTTACAAAGTGTGAGTTATCCCATCATATAAGAACCCATACAGGAGAAAAACCTTATAACTGTGACCAGTGTGACTATTCTGCTGCACTGAAATCCACCTTAGATTATCACAAAGCAAGGCACACAGGTGAGAAACCCTACATGTGTGGGGAGTGTGGGTACAGGACGACTCGAAAGTTTAGCTTATCCCTACATATGAGAAGGCATACAGGAGAAAAACCCTACAAGTGTGACAAGTGTGATTATTCTGCTCTACGAAAATCCAACTTAGATGACCATAAAACAAAACACACTGGTGAAAACCCTACATGTGTGGGGAGTGTGGATACAGGACGACTCGAAAGTCTTACCTATCCGATCATATGAGAACCCATACAGGTGAAATGTCTTCCAAGTGTGACCAGTTTGACTATTCTGAAACATTAAAGTCCACTTTGGATCAACATCTAGCAAAAGACAGTGGTGAAAAACCCTACGTATGTTTGGTGTGTGGGTACAAGACAACTCAAAAGTGTCACTTTTCCCAACATATTACAACCCATACAGGAGAAAATCCCTACGATATATGTGAGGAGTGTGGATATATGGCAACTAACAAGTGTAACTTTTCCCGACACATAAAAACCCACAAAGGAGAAAAATCATATAACTGTCATCTATGTTGCTACTCAGCAACTAGAAAAAATCAACTGTCTGCACATTTGAGAAAAAAAAAGGAAAGAGAGTGAAGTTAGCCATACAGGAGAAAAACATGGAGAAAGTGCGTCAGCCCAGCATTCAACAAAACACAATGACGAGAAACCTAGGATGTGTGGGGAGTATGGGCAGAGGGCTGCTGAAACGTCAGACTTATCCCAAGTAATGACATCTCATACTGGAGAAAAACCCAACAAGTGTGACCAACGTGATTGTACAGCCTCGGTGGAATCTAATTTTGACCAACATGGAACACAACACACCAGTGAGGAATCCTACATATGTGAGGAGTGTGGGTACAAGGCAGCTACAATGGATGATCTATCCGACCATATAAGAACACACACAGAAGAAAGATCTGACAAGAGTGACCAGCGTTCTGCAGCACTAAAATCCTCATCAAAGGACTATAAAGCAACACACACCGGTGGGAAATTCTACTTGTGCCTGAAGTGTGGGTACAGGACAACTAACAAGTCTCACGTAATTCGACATAATAGAATTCATACTGGAGAAAAGCCCTACAAGTGTAACCAGTGTGACTATTCTGCAGCAGTGAAATCTGCTTTGGACGTACATCTATTAAAACATAAAGGTGAAAAACCCTACATGTGTGGGGAGTGTGGATACAGGACGGAACTAAAATCTTACTTAACCCAACATTTGAAAATTCATACAGGAGAAAAACCCTACTTGTGTGACAGGTGTGGCTATTCTGCAACAATGAAACATACTTTGGTCCAACATTTAAAAGATCACACTGGGGAGAAACCCTACATGTGTGGGGAGTGTGGGTACAGAACACCTCGCAAGTCTACCTTAACCCGACATATGAAAACCCATACAAAGGAGAAAAAACCCGTACAAAGGAGAAAAACACGTGGGAAAGAAACTAAATCTACAAATGAGACAGATGTACAGCCTACAAGTTTGTTCTCTTGTGACAAGAAAGGTCAAATGGAAGAGGAACCTCTAAAGAAGTGACCATGTTAACTGACGGTTTTCTCAATCCGTACCCGGGCCTTATACCTACTCTGTAGTTAAGAAATCTATGTTAGAGGTGGAGATCAAAACGCAAAATCACAACGTTAGTCAGTTTCAGTATCTTTGGTTAGTATTGTAGCCTCGTGCGGTGTAATATTAGGGCAGTCGGTAGGGAACCCATATGGCCATAGGCCCAGACCTGGGTTCGATTCGAGCAGGGTCGATCACAATTGTATGAACTGCTGTATTTTGTTACTGCTGTTGTATGCAAGTTACGGTTATGCATAATAACAATGGTCTGGATACGAGTCTAAAAAGAGTATTGAGCTAAAATCTTAAATTGATAATAAGTACAGACAACAAACTTTAAGTAAAACGCATTTATATCATCCTTAATACTGAGTTACGTTATTATTTCTTTACATTGACTAAACACACCCGTCATTATAAGAAAAGAAACAATCAAGACTATATCTGACGGGCATAAGCGACGAATAAGTTATAGACTCATAGGTCTACAGTAGGCACCATACAATTGATTTGTTCCAATAATTTATTTGATGTCGCGAAATAAATGTACTGAAACTGTTTGCAATTGCCTGGACTTGTTTATTTGTATTTATTCATGTTTACGTTGTGAAATAAGCTGGGACGTGATTTTAAATCTATACACGGTTTTGATAGACATGTTAGACCTTTGTTTCCCACCTACACTCGCTTTGTCACAGTACGTCTGTAGACACGTTGATTGACCGTAACGCGTAGACGTATACATGCATTGGGAGTGGGACACATCGAATATAATGTTTTTCAGGTTTAGAGTTTAAACTTGACCAGACTTGAAGTAAGTGTGGCGGTTATACGCCAGATTTGTGTGGACCTTGTTAAATTTCGCTTCCCATTGCTCGGTGGTCATTATAGAAGTGCAAATAGTTTTTGAATTTATGGAAAACTTCGCGGACTGTAGTATTTTTTGCTTGGTAAAGTTGGTCGGCAAGCGAAGTGTTTTAGGTATACACGACCAAGGGTTATGCCTGATGACAAACATAACTACGTTCTATACGCTACAAAGTGTGACAGGCTGAATAAAAGTTCTAAACGGAATTATGCGGCTCTAATGTTTTATTATTTAAGGGGCCACTGCGTGTGTGAGATGTTGGTTAGCTTGAGGAATGAGTCCCCTCTATATATTGCTTTCTATATGCGATTTCAACGGATTTGCGCCACAATTTTTTTTTTTTTAAATTAGATGAACCTATCCATTTTGTAGTAGTAAGCTTTTTTTTCATTATATTATAATGTAAGCCTTAAATACTCGGGATATTTTTTTCTATAGGATCTTCGTTGGAATAAGTGTTAAAAAACTATATTGTTGGTTCCACAATTTACATTTTACTTCAGTGTCTGAAGTATGAAGTCCATAGTGACATAATCCTGGATCTGGGTAATCAGGTTCGTCAACTTTGACCTTTACCCTATGGTTTTGCTTGGCCGCCATTTTGTGCTGTGCGACGGGTGTCATTTGCTCTCAAATCTGAGGTGATTCTTGATCAACCCTGGACACCTTTGATAGACAGGTAAGGCCTTTGCGTACTTCCTCACCCTGTTGCAGAACCGCAGCAGGTTGTCAATCAAAATCAGGGGTATAAATTAAATTGAGGGCTAGGGTTAGAATGGCAAGTGCATATCTCGATCGTATGTGAGGGCAGAATGATAATATTTTGCATTATAGTTTCTTGACGCATGTAATTTTCCCGCATACCTTTGTATTTTTATAATAGCTGAACGCTTAAAAGTAAAATTAGCATGCGCGTGTTTCTCATCCAAGCAAATACGTGATGTAGTGATGTGAACTAAGTTAATGTGTTTAAGGACTGCCCACACATACCAAGGCCACACACCAGTAATAGAGGACCTCATAGAGAACAGATGTTCCTCCTACAAGCTGTCGCTGTATATATGAGCACAGTAGAATACAGTCGTGAAAAGCTCCTCCGGGTGAGACTGGTCATTGATCACTACACGTGCTTTGTTGACACAATATTCACATTTCTCACATTTTCAGGTTTCAACATCTCTCACTGCATCCAGACAGAATCTAGCCTGGGATTTGACACCATAGTCATACGCAGGTATGTGGTTTTACCATTTGGTTTCCTAACATATTAAACAACTACATATGTTTCATTTGAATTCTGACAGTCCTAGGATGACTTTACACAACTTCATATAACATTGTTTTGTTTCTAATTCCAGTTGTGCATGCCAGACACAGAAAAATCTAATGTTCCATGCTTTAAATCCTGACAGTCCTATGATGACGTCACGCAAGCTAAGGCTATACAACTTTTTTTTTTAAATGCCAGTGGTGCATGTCAGGTAGATGAAGTTTATGTTGTTACATAGAAGGCTTCAGGTTTGTAGGGAATTGTTTAGTTTTCAAATAAAATACTTTTCGGTATCTCATGATTGTTGTTTCTTCCCGAACAGAAAACAAATTTTAAAAAAAATGAGGAGAAACCCTTGGAGTTCGAGAACAGCAATTTTAGAACAACTCCCGGGTCTTGCTTTACTATGAGTAGCCCTACAGAACAAAAACCAAGTGAAAATGCACCACCCCAACATCTATCTAAACATGTTGGGGAGAAACCCTACATGTGTGGAGAGTGTGGATATAGGGCAACTAAAAGATCCCGCTTATCCCAACACATGAAAATCCATACAGGAGAAAAACCCTACAATTGTGACCAGTGTGACTATTCTGCAGCGAGAAAATCCACTTTGGATTGTCATATAGCAAAACACACAGATGAAAAACCCTACATGTGTGGTGAGTGTGGGTACAGGACAAATTACAAACATGTCTTATCCGACCATATGAGAATCCATTCAGGAGAAAAACCGTACAAATGTGACCAGTGTGACTATTCTGCCACACTAAAATCCACTTTGGATCGTCATATAGCAAAACACACAGGTAAAAAACCCTTCATATGTGAGGAGTGTGGATACAGGGCAGTTACAAAGTCTGAGTTATCCCATCATATAAGAACCCATACAGGAGAAAAACCCTATAACTGTGACCTGTGTGACTATTCTGCAGCACAGAAATCCACCTTAGATGACCACAAAGCAAGGCACACAGGTGAGAAACCCTTCATGTGTGCGGAGTGTGGATACAGGACGACTCGAAAGTTTAACTTATCCCTACATATGAGAAGGCATACAGGAGAAAAACCCTATAAGTGTGACAAGTGTGATTATTCTGCTCTACGAAAATCCAACTTAGATGACCATAAAACAAAACACACCGGTGAAAAACCCTACATGTGTGGGGAGTGCGGGCACAGAACGACTCGAAAGTCTTACCTATCCGATCATATGAGAACCCATACAGGTGAAATGTCTTCCAAGTGTGACCAGTTTGACTATTCTGAAACATTAAAGTCCACTTTGGATCAACATCTAGCAAAAGACAGTGGTGAAAAACCCTACGTATGTTTGGTGTGTGGGTACAAGACAACTCAAAAGTGTCACTTTTCCCAACATATTACAACCCATACAGGAGAAAATCCCTACGATATATGTGAGGAGTGTGGATATATGGCAACTAACAAGTGTAACTTTTCCCGACACATGAAAACCCACAAGGAAGAAAAATCTTATAACTGTCATCTGTGTTGCTACTCAGCAACTAGAAAAAATCAACTGTCTGCACATTTGAGAAAACACAGGAAAGAGAGTGAAGTTAGCCATACAGGAGAAAAACATGGAGAAAGTGCGTCAGCCCAGCATTCAACAAAACACAATGACGAGAAACCCAGGATGTGTGGGGAGTATGGGCAGAGGGCTTCTAAAACGTCAGACTTATCCCAAGTAATGACATCTCATACTGAGGAAAAACCCAACAAGTGTGACCAACGTGATTATACAGCCTCGGTGGAATCTAATTTTGACCAACATGGAACACAACACACCAGTGAGGAATCCTACATATGTGAGGAGTGTGGGTACAAGGCAGCTACAATGGATGATCTATCCGACCATATAAGAACACACACAGAAGAAAGATCTGACAAGAGTGACCAGCGTTCTGCAGCACTAAAATCCTCATCAAAGGACCATAAAGCAACACACACCGGTGGGAAATTCTACTTGTGCCTGAAGTGTGGGTACAGGACAGCTAACAAGTCTCACGTAATTCGACATAATAGAATTCATACTGGAGAAAAGCCCTACAAGTGTAACCAGTGTGACTATTCTGCAGCAGTGAAATCTGCTTTAGACGTACATCTATTAAAACATAAAGGTGAAAAACCCTACATGTGTGGGGAGTGTGGATACAGGACGGAACTAAAATCTTACTTAACCCAACATTTGAAAATTCATACAGGAGAAAAACCCTACTTGTGTGACAGGTGTGGCTATTCTGCAACAATGAAACATACTTTGGTCCAACATTTAAAAGATCACACTGGGGAGAAACCCTACATGTGTGGGGAGTGTGGGTACAGAACACCTCGCAAGTCTACCTTAACCCGACATATGAAAACCCATACAAAGGAGAAAAAACCCGTACAAAGGAGAAAAACACGTGGGAAAGAAACTAAATCTACAAATGAGACAGATGTACAGCCTACAACTTTGTTCTCTTGTGACAAGAAAGGTCAAATGGAAGAGGAACCTCTGAAGAAGTGACCATGTTAACTGACGGTTTTCTTAATCTGTAGCCGGGCCTTATACCTACTCTGTAGTTAAGAAATCTATGTTAGAGGTGGAGATATTCACGCAAAATCATAAGTAAGTCAGTTTCAGTATCTTTGCTTAGTATCGTGGCCTCGTGCGGTGTAATATTAGGCCACAGCAAGTATTTTTTATGGATGACATCAGCGCGCACATTAATTTTCGCCTGATTTCGAAAAACAAAGAAATTTTGTTGCCTTATGACAGTGGACACCATGCCGAAAATGGGCAAAGATGTCTGCTTCCATGCCGGAAGGTGGATGGCAGATAAATATGAAGAGAGGAGACAAGAAAAGGCTCTGATTTAATGTTTTGTTTCTTAATTTGATGCAGTGATATGTGATACTGGCTGTGTATATGTGATGTTCCCACTGAATCAAAACCATTTGTACAATGATTGAGTCAAAATTGTAAAATGTAGAAACCTTGTTTTTTCGGCCCGCCTTGTTTTTTTTCGCCTGCTCGCATTAGATTTGGAGTCAGCGGAGGATATCATCCATAAAATTTACGTGTCTTAGGGCAGTCGGCAGGGAACCCATAGGCTCAGGCCTGGGTTCGATTCGAGCAGGGTCGATTACAATTGTATGAACTGTTGTATTTTGTTACTTTTGCTGTATGCAAGTTACGGTTACGCATAATCACAATGGTCTGGATACGAGTCTAAAAAAAGAGTATTGAGCTAAAATCTCAAACTGATAATAAGTAGAGATAAAAAAAGTAAAACGCATTTTACATTATTGTTATGCATAATAACTATGGTCTGGATACGAGTCTAAAAAGTGTATTGAGCTAAAATCTCAAATTGATGGTAAGTAGAGATTAAAAAAAGTAAAACGCATTTATATTATCCTTAATACTGAGTTATGTTATTATTTCTTTACATTGACTAAACACACCCGTCATCATAAGAAAAGAAACAATTAAGACTATATCTGACGGGCATAAGCGACGAATAAGTTATAGACTCATAGGTCTACAGTATGAACCATACAATTGATTTGTTCCAATGATTTATTTGATGTCGCAAAATAAATGTACTGAAACTGTTTGCAATTGCCTGGACTTGTTTATTTGTATTTATTCATGTTTACGTTGTGAAATAAGCTGGGAGGCGATTTTAAATCTACACGGTTTTGATAGACATGTAAGACCTTTGTTTCTCACCTACACTCGCTTTTTCACAGTACCTCAGTAGACATGTTGATTGACCGTAACGCGTAGAAGTATACATGCATGGGGAGAGGGATACATCGAATATAATGTTCTTCAGGATTAGAGTTTAAGCCTGACCAGACTTGAAGTAATTGCGGCAGTTATACGCCAAATTGTAAATAATAAACTTCTCTATTGTGTAGTTGTTAATTTCGCTCCCCATTGCTCGGTTTTCTTACAGAAGTGCAAATATATATATTTTTTTTAATTTATAGAATTCCCGGTGGATTGTAGTCTTTTTGGTAAAGTTGGTCGGCATGCGAAGTGTTTTTAGTATCTACGAGCAAGGGTTATGCCTGATGACAAACATAACTACGTTCTATATGCAACAAAGTGTGACAGGCTGAATAAAATTTCTGAACGGAACTATGCGGCTTCAGATGTCTTATTAAAGGGGCCACAGCGTGTGTGGCGTGTGTGAGATGTCGGTTAGCTTGAGGAATGAATTCCCTCTACTATATACTGCGTTCTTATCTGAACAAAAAGGCTATTCTGGCGCTTCCTCATAAATTATGCAAATGAGGTTATGTTTATGTTTATTGCTGTTCATCTTCACTTCCAAATGCAGCAAGTATGAAATTTACACCATTTACAACTATGAAATTATAACAATTTTTCATTAATTATGTAAATTAGGTCCTCATTTACGTAATCTATATCCTCAGATAATTTTGTCGTTCTCAATTACATGTCACAAGTGTTTTATAGTCCTATTATCGAACGAAGCACATTTATAGAATTTCCTCATTAGTCATTAGATCCTAATATGCATAATTAATGGCATCTGATTTTGTCAAACATCACTTTAGTTGCCTACATACCAAAAAGGATAACGATCCGTCAACCGGTTCTTGAGTTATCCTCCTCCGGAGATTTTTCAAGAAATGCTCCTTCAGTTTCAGAACAATCCGCTCAAACTCATTTCACTTCTTTCTTAGCTCAAGAGCTATCTACCATCCAAAATTCATGAAACCGGAATGTCCAGATCATGAGATGTCAAAACCGGAGGTTCTGCTGCAGTACCAACAAAAGCCACCAGGGGGGCCGAAAATCTAACCATTTTTAGGTCTCATCGAGACCTACCCGCCTATCAAGTTTCATGGCAATGCATATTAAGCTCCCTGAGTTATGCTGACATAATGTAAAAAGTGACTCAAATGCCATGAAAATATATACCCACCCCTCCAAGACTCCAATACAAGATTTTCCAAACCAAACCAAAGGTTTTCCAAACAAACATTCTGTGTGTGTGTGTGTGTGTGTGTGTGTGTGTGTGTGGTCATTGGTTTGAGGTGACAATTTATCAAATTGTTACCTTCTCTAGATGGTTGAACTTGTGTTAGTAGTTTTGATGCGTGTAATTAACGCTCTCCATTGCTGTCTCCCAGCAAATGAATTGTGTTTTTTTTTTTAAGGCCACACCGACTTAATTTTATAGATGACATCTGCGCGCGTATTGATTTTCGCCTGTTCTAAAAAAAAAAAGATCACGTCCACCGATGCTCTGGCCTGGCTCTTGGCCCGGGTTGTCCATAGCCTGGGTACCATCCTACTTCTATGCCGGGGCTCCCACACTCGCTTCCCTAACAAGTTGATGCTGTAACGTTACAAACCACATGTTTCATGTTAAAAAGAACACAAAAACTTCATTCTCTAATGTGCGGACTCACACTGGTGAGAAACCCTACAGGTGTGAGGAATGCAGCAGGCAGTTCAGCCGGCTGGGTAATCTAAAGACTCACACAGGTGAAACCGTACATGTGTGAGGAGTGCGGCGTGTGTTTTATTGGGCCGATTCATCTAAAGAGACACATGCGGCCTATTGGGATCCCATGTGAACACACACCGGCGAAAGCCTGCCAATGTCTTTGTAAATGTTACTGGTGGGATCGTTTTAACGGTTCATGCTGTTTGATCTTTTTTTTCTTTCTAATCAGTGCAAAGTGAACCTGGTCTTAACATCGTATATCGATGATTTTCGGTTCAATATAATGTCACATCGATTCCCCTCGCTTAAGTGCACAGACACATTCGATCCCAAAGTTATCAGATACATTATACATAATACATAATTGCATGGTACATAATAAATTGTCATAAATTAGAAAATCTCTAAGAGTTCAACAAGAAACTGTTTACAGCAGTCTTTAGAAATGTTTCTGATACACAGAAAATGTAAGGTCGTGTTGATGAGAGAAGTTCATGTTCAAGGAAATTCAAATTGGTGCGTAGACCTCTGATGTTTGTAAAACATGCTTTGAACTCATTGTTATTCTCTTGCAAGTGAAACCCTTTTTTCTCTGTTTTTTTTGTCAGCGTCAGAGCTAGAAGTCGTGTATAAAATACAACAGTGTAGTGTTTAGAATAATTAGACAATGGATACATGGTAGGACACCGTTGGTTTAACGTCAATGTGTCGTTGTCAGTCCGTTATAGAACTTAGTCAACTACAATTAGTTTTCGTTGTTTTAGTATCTGTAAATACACTAGCTCTTTAGCGTTTGGTTACAGTTGCAACATGTTAGTATTGCATCAAAATGTTTGTTTTACTGCAGTTCTGTAAGGTAGAGGTAACTTAGAGTTCTGTCAACTTTTTGCATCTCAGTTTCAACAATAAAGCGCGTTATGTGCCTTATTAGTCTTAGATGTATCACTATACATTACACGTTATACATTATTAAAGTTTACACACCTGCAAAATATATTCGATAAATTAATACTAGTATATTGAATTTTACACATGGTGTGAGGGAAAGAAAGATGTGAACGGTAGTCCATATATACTGCCGCAAGGGTCTGAGCGGCTGCCATTCGGCGCCACAAGGTGACCTCAATACGGCTTTCCCCAACCGAAGTTAGGTACCCATTCACACCTGGGTGGAGTGAGGAAAGTTGTGTAAAGTGCCTTTCCCAAGGGCACAACGTAACGCTGGGCGCATGTCCAGACATGTTCCGGGTACGGCTCGGGATCGAACCCGGCTCTCCTGGTTCAAAGTCGAATGATCTACGACTATGCCATCCGATGCCATATTTAGAGATGAGATAAAATAGTTTTTCAACCAGGAGTTGGACAACTGATGTAATGATGTGTTATATTTTCTCACTGTACCGTACGTAGGTGTATTTTGCAAGTGCTCTATGTATTCATTGTAATAAAGAAATTAAACATTAAATTTTATATCCTTACAGAATCGGGAGTTTGACCAACATGTCGACTAGAGCTGAATCTCATCAAAAGTGTTCCTACAAGTGCAGCAAGTGTGGCAAGGAGTATCGTTACCGGCGGCGTCTGGAGGCTCACATGCGGGCATGCGGAGATCAACCTTATCGGTGCGAGAAATGCAACAAAGGTTTCCATCAGCCAGGTCGTCTGAAGGCCCACATGCGGTCTCACACGGGGGAGAAACGGTATCAATGTGAGGAGTGCAGCAGGTGCTTCAGTACATCGGGTACTCTAAAGTCACATATCAGAATCCACACCGGTGAGAAACCGTACAGGTGTGAGGAGTGCGGCAGGCAGTTCCGTCAGAAGTCTATTTTAAAGACTCACATGCAGACGCATACGGGCGAGAAGCCTTATCAATGCGGGGAGTGCAGAAGACAGTTCAGTGAGATGAGTAGTCTACAGACACACATGCGGACTCATACAGGGGAGAAACCGTACACTTGTGAAGAGTGCAGCAAAGAGTTTAGCGCGTTAAACATTCTGAAGATCCACATGCGGACTCACACTGGTGAGAGACCGTATAGATGTGAGGAGTGCGGCAAGCAGTTTAGACAGCTGCCTGGACTAAAGGAGCACATGCGGACTCACACCGGGGAGAAACCGTATAGGTGCGAGGAGTGCAGCAAGCAGTTTACTACAATGTGCCAACTAAAGAATCACATGCGGACTCATACAGGCGAGAAACCTTACAAATGCGAGGAGTGCAGCAGGCAGTTCAATACCTCGTCACAACTTACGAGACACAAGCTAACTCACACAGGTGAGAAACCTTACACGTGTGAGGAGTGCAGCAAGCAGTTTATCATGCTCAGTAGTCTGAAGATTCATATGCGGACTCACACAGGTGAGAAACCCTACAAGTGTGAGGAGTGCGGCAAGCAGTTTCGTGAGCTGGGTACTCTCAAGAGACACGCAAGAACTCACACGGGTGAGAAACCGTACAAATGTGAGGAATGCAGTAGGCAGTTCAGCGTCCAGAGTAGTTTGAAGGAACACATGCGGACTCACACCGGTGAGAAACCGTATAGTTGTGGGGATTGCGGTAAGCAGTTTAACCGCCTGGGTTCCCTGAAAGATCACATGAAAACTCACACAGGTGAGCGACCGTACACTTGTGAGGAGTGCAGCAGGCAGTTCAGCACCATGAGTATCCTGAAGACTCACATGCGTACTCACACAGGTGAAACACCTTACACGTGTGAAGAATGCAGTAGGCAGTTCAGAGCCCCGGGTAGTTTAAAGGACCACATGCGGACTCACACCGGTGAGAAACCGTTTAGTTGTGGGAATTGTAGTAAACAGTTTAGTCGCCTAAATACTCTGAAGGAACACATGAGAACCCACACTGGTGAGAAACCGTTCAGGTGTGAGGAGTGCAGCAAGCAGTTTACTACAAAGTCAAATCTAAGAAATCACATGCGAACTCACACTAGTGAGAAACCGTAAGTCTGAACAATGTTACAAAAGCGTTGGTAAGAAAAGCTTTGCCAACAAAATCTTTGCCCACATTTACTCAATTAAGTATCTGGCTATGAATTTGGAAACAGACAGACGTTTCAGGTAGCATTTTTCTTCTTTTTTTTTCAGTGATAATGGTGAATTCTTACGAATCACACGAACCACGAACTATTTATTGATATTCAAATAAAACGAACAACTAAGCGTTTGTCCCAAGAATTCCAAAGTCATTTCCAGTTGCTTTTAATAACTGTTATTTGTGTATGTTATCACCTGGATATCTACCCTTCAACGAGGTAACAAAAGCTTTTGTCAGTTATCAATAAGTTCATAGTATGCCACTTACACTGGAAAATAGCCTACCAGTGTCTGTTTAAAGATTCAATCATGTGGCATTATATGGGTAGTACACGTAGCAAAGTTTGTAGGCATTAAATTTGTCTACCACTGAGGGGTCGCTTTGAGTGTCAGTTTTCTCTAATCTAATTGTGCAACGATGGGAACTCTTCTTTGCTGTTTTTTTTTTCCTGTAGAGTTATGAATAACGTTGGTTTTATATCACGATCAATGCATGCTCCGTAGTCTGTAGATTAGAACTAAAGTTAGGATGTATAAAATACAACTGTAGAATGTATCATCAATAGTGACAAATTTAAATGGTAAGACACCGTTCATTTGACGTCTGGTCGTCATCTCCCACCTGTTTCTAGCAATTAGCTGTCACTGTTTGTTTTAGTTACTTAAGTTTACTATTCTTTTTATATTTGACTAACCGTTGTAAAGACACTAGATCCATAGCGTTTTGAGACCTTCAGAAGTACTTGCAGTGAAATGTACTTATAAAAGTAATGTAAATATACTTTTAACGAATAGAATTAACGTATAGCGTTTAACGTATAGAATTAATTACACCATACGTGTTAGTTATGAGTTAATTGTACCTGTCAAATATATTTCTGTCAATTTTTTTGCATCCCAGTTTCACTAATAAATCCATAAAAGGTAATGGGCTGTTGTCGTCATCTTCATCTTTATTCACCAAGTTGTTCTTTTTTTCCGAAAGAGGTTGTCTGATTTACCCCTATTCAAATCAGTATATGTAACATGGTACTTTCCTTTGTTGCTTAATCAACTAGAACTCACCGGACATGTTTTATTTACTCACTTATCAGTCCCTATATTGATGCGTCTCTGTTTCTGTCAATACGATGTCAAATTAAGAGTAACAGTTATTTCCCATTACTATCGCTGCACGTCCTTTAGTGTTGATTAGAACTAGAAGCACAATGCAGTGTTCAAATTTGTGAACAATATTTCGTTTTATCTCGTTATTATATTTCGCAATAACTCGTTATATCTCGTAACTATCTCGTAATCATCATCATTACGGCATCTCCTTCGAAAATATCTTCTTCTTTTTGTAATTTTTCTTCGTCTCTATTTTGCTATAATTGTATAATAGACAATTGTTTAAACTGATATACCAGAAAAATTCAATATTCGACAAGGCGTCCGTAACAACAGAATCCTGGACCCGGGTAATCAGGTTTGTCAACTTTAACCTTTGCCCTCGATAGATTTGACCCATGATTATGCTGAACCGCCATTTTTGAGACGTGCGTGTGGTGTCATTATTTCTCTCCAATATGAGGCAATTTTCATCTTACTTCGGCTCTGTATCAACTCTGGGCAGTTTTAAAAGACAGGTAAGACCTTTGTTGACCTCCTACACTCGCTGTGGCGCGGTACCAGGTGCAGTACTTCAAATCGGTCGTGAATCGCGTGATACGAGCAAATATCATTGATATAGAACAATAGTACTTATACAGTATAATGTCCTTGATTAGAACAAGAAATAGTGGGTAAAATGCAACTGGAGTATTTAGATATTTGTCAACTTTCTCAATCTCAATTTCACAATAAATTTAGGTAATATGTTGTTGTCTCTCAATCGCTATCATTAGTAGTGGCAAGGACGTGTGTTGAACGTCCTTGGTAGTGGCGTACATTATCCTACTTACTACGAATGATATCTGATTTTTCTAGTATGCAAATAAGCACGGTGCTTTCCTTTGTTTTTAATCAAGTAAAACTCACCGGACCGGTTTTATCCACCCACTCAGTCCATATATAAACGCCGCCCCTGATTGCTCTGTTTCTGTCAGTACTGACTCTGCAGCCGTGAGGATCTGTGTCGTCGTGAAAACATCGTGCAGTACTTTGGAGCGTCAGTACATCTTGGTAAGTGCCGACTATGATTTCCCTTTCCTTACTTATCTATCTATTTTTTCCTGTATTTGTCTGTGACTACGGCCTTCTGACATCTTCGCTGTAGGCTAAGCCTGGCTGCGAAGAAATTTATACGCATTCGAACTTACTTTTCATACTCTTGTATGCTAAAGAAGTGTTTGCTTTTACCGTTAGAATGCCCAACGAAGTGTTTGAAGACGTTTATGCCACATTCAGATTTTTGTTAACTGTTTGTATGTCTGCTGGCGTCCACATTTGCGTCGTCCACATTTTGACTCAATTTGTTACAATGTTCCCTGTGCTAGCTCTGGTCTTATATCTTGTCCTTCAAAAATTCTGTCTTCGTGCAAACCATTCACAATTTGAACATGTTTCTTCTACCAAAAAAGTCGCAATAAGATGCATTGATCAGTAGATATATTGGATTCAGATATTTACATTGTTCTTTTAGGATCAAGAGTTTGACCAACATGTCGACCAGAGCTGAATCTCACCTGAAACAAGAGGAGGGAGAGAATGTGTGTGGGGTGCAGGATTTTCCGCGTACCCACAAGTGTGGTGAGTGTGACAAGGAGTTTCCTAAACGGACTGATCTGGGGCGACACATGCGGACGCACACAGGCGAGAAACCTTACAAATGTAAAGAGTGTAACAGACGCTTCAGTCTGCTAGGTAATCGGAAGCGACATATGCGGGTTCACACAGGTGAGAAACCGTACGCGTGTGAGCAATGCCACAAAAGCTTCAGTCATCTGGGTAATCTGGCGACTCACGTCCGGATTCACACCGGTGAGAAACCGTACAAATGTGAAGAGTGCAGCAGGCGATTCACCTACCTCGGTCATCTAAAGAGACACATGCGGACTCACACCGGTGAGAAACCCTACAGGTGTGAGGAGTGCGGTAGGTGTTTCGTTGTGATGGGTGACCTGAAGGGGCATATCAGAACTCACACAGGTGAGAAACCGTACAGGTGTGAGGAGTGTGGGCGACAGTTTTGTCATCTGTCAAATCTAAAGACACATATGCGGACACACAAAGGTGAGCGACCGTACAAATGTGAAGAATGTAGCATGCACTTCAGCAGGTTGGATGTACTGAAAACCCATATGAGAACTCACACTGGAGAGAAACCGTACACGTGTGAGAAATGCAGTAGAAGCTTCCGTCAATCAAGTGGTTTGAGGGCCCACATGCTAACCCATACCGACAAACACTAGTCATAGTGTGAAGATCATTTAATGTGGGTCAAAAGCAAAAACTAAGGCACAATTAAAGTTTGCAACTGTTTAATGAACAATAGAATCGATTTAAATGTCGACTGTATGTGGATCAAACTGTGTGATACTTATGCAAATGTCACCTTATACTTTTACCACTTATAACGACCGCAGAATGTTGATTAGAACTAGAAGTAGTGTGTACAATGTGGTGTTTAGGCAATAGCGGCAGAGTGGCATGGTAAGATACCGTTCATTTCACATCAAACTTAACAGTCGTATCTTAGCACATGTCACTTTTCATATTCGACTGACCTCTGTACATAATATATACTACGTTTAGAATTAGATAAAGTTTGTTTGTTGTGAATTCATCAAATGTTAGTCCGTAGCATTGTTTTTTTTTGCCAGTGTTCTGGTTCTGATAGGTAGTGATTTATCAACTTATTAAAACACGCGTTGTGTTGCGTATGGTTACTCTCCTGGTTTTCCTCTGTCTGGGGGTGTTGTCTTTTTCTTGTTGTCTGATTCCCTCTATGCAAATAAGCGTATGTAACACGCCATCATACTAGTACTTTCCTTCGTGTTTTGATTAGGTAACACTGCACAAAATACAAAATAAGGGATTTACCAAATTTAAATGTGGTATGTAAATGTCTGGTAACTGTGACATATAATATGTAACCACAAATACCATAGATTTACCCGGTAAGTATGTGAAACCAGTAAATATATGAAAACTCCACAGCACTCCAAACCCGAAAATATAGTAGTGACAAGCATCGCGACTATGTCAGAAAATTTCCGTACTCGTGTGTCTGTATCCGTATACGTATCAGTAATACACGTGTAACGTGTGTTTCTGTACTCCGACTTACGTACCACACATCCTTTGGTTTACATACCAGCAAAATAAAAGTCAAACTATAGACAGCAGCACATCTCTGACAACCCAACCTTTACACAGGTATGAAGTCATCGACCATTCGTTTTAACTTCTATAGAGCAAAACCGCTTACATGCTCACATAATTAATTTGTCTCGATGTGGGTGGTGTTTAAAATGTTTACCTACGTGTGCATCTATAAATGAATACAATTAACTAGTGACTATTTGTTTCGTGGTGCAAGACGTCATATTAATATTTTGTACTTGTCAAACGCTAAACATGTTTTGAAGGTCCTGAACAGTCTCTATCATAATATAATACTTTCTGGTTCGAATTTTACTGTTTGGGTATTTTTTTCTATCCTAATTTCTACTTCTTTAATTTTAAAAAAGCCAACATGTCTTAAAAGGTGTTTTTATGATGAATAGTTAACGGCCCCGTATGAAATGTTTTGATGTTTGCGGCGTTTTTACCAAGCTACGAATGTTCTCTTTTACATCTGTTTTGTAATTTAGTGATTTGGATTGGTATAATTTTGTGTCTGGAGCTGTGCATGAGTCGACAGGCGCCTCGCCTGGTGCAGGTCGTGTTTTATATCACCATGCCAGGACGGCAGCAACGTCCTCAGACAAGCGACACAGGTACGTTTTGCTAGCGTTTTTTTTTTTTAGAAAATGAAAAATGTGTGTGTCTCTGTCCCTGAAGTTTGCCCAAAAACTGTACGTGTGGGATTGAAACCACCTGTTATAAAGTCTAACAGACACAAGAACTCATTTATGCAAAGAAGATTGTCTTTAATGTGATTCCCGAAAAATTCTGTGTTTATATATATATACTTCGATGTTGTTGCAGTGAACAGATTTTAATATTCCTGTATAATGTTTTATCGTTTTTAACGCTGATGATCTTTTAAATGAATTGTTCTTTTATAAATGTACATGTACTGTAAAAAAATAAATTTATAAATGTACATGTACACGTACTGTCGTGATGACTACAAAGTTGAATTCACAATAAAGTTTATAGTTTGAAATCTGAACAGTAAATTGGTTTCCTCGACTGCGGGGAGAGGTAAGTGGGAGGGAGACTAGACAGAACAACAAACTTGACCATTTGCCAGTCCGTACGGCAAGGTATTCGAAAAGCCGATGGCCACTGCCTTATATCTCGACCGGCTTTTAAACAGCTCTCTGTAATAGGAACGGCTAACTAGACTAGTTTACTGTGTTGTAACGCTATACTGTACTGTACTGTATTGTATTGTAACGCTACTATATGTCGTTACCTTACCCTTAGACCTTAGATCCTCCCGCAACCTTGTTGCATAGGTCGACTCCTTGTCTGACTTTTTGTCTCCAAAGGTTTCGGTCTTGCGCCACTACTGCCATATCCTTAAGTGAGTTAAGTCCAAGTTTTACCCCATCATTTTGTAGTGTTTTCCGCAAAGTCACTCTAGGCCGCCCTCTCGGGCGTGTGCCTTCTTGCTTCCATGTTAGGGCTGGAACATGTCGTTAATATGCTAATTTTAATTAGCTATTTTAAACTGTTATTTTAACCATTAGTAGATAAGAGTTAATTTAATGCAGTCAAATCAGTTTGTCTTTATTTATCCTTTTCCAAATCTTGTAACATGTGAAACGAGCAAGCATTTGAACAGCCGACTGCATTTATTTTACTTCTTTTAATTTTCGTACAGGCGCCACACCAATGGACCAACCCCAGACTAATGACCAGGCACGTGCGGAAAACGATGCAAACACACCCGACAACACCTACGCAAACATACCAGGTATTTTCTTTATGGCAGCATATCTGGAAATAAACGTTGCTAAAGTTAACAAAAAAAGCCATTTTCTTATTAAACTTTGCTTGGTGGTTGTGGCGTGTCCAAAACCTACAAAATCCCCCCGATTACTAGTTTTTTTTTTGAAACAGTAAAATTTTGTCACTTAACATAATTTTTTGTAACATAAAATACATCCTAAGTTGTTTAGTGTAATTTTATCATTTAAATTTTATGGAGAATCATATCGCTACTTGAGGCCTTTTTTCACAAAAAATTCATTTCATGATACAACGAAAACATCCATATTGATGACTTTTATAGTCATTATGCATTAATATTATAGAAAGAAGACTATTTAAGGATGACTATTGTTTCACGTCAAACAAAACTAATGTCAGTATAGTTTTGTTTCCACTCTCAAATCTAATGACCGTCTACGCCAGGGAAAATTTGGAACCAAATTTAGCTGTATATTTGGTATGAAATGGTGTCCCTTTAAATACAAGATCAACTTTCTTTAACGTCTCGTTATTACTATTCTGTTCCATAGAAGAAGATTTTTAATACTACAGTTATACTGTACATTTTAACGGTTATCAAATATTACTTACTAGTATCTTGAATATCAACAGTTTGCACTATGCAATTAGAAATCGTAACCGATAATGTATAGTATAGCTATCCAACTGTTGTCACTTAATACTATAGTCATATCAATATAAAGAATTGTTTCCCATGTGTTTCTCCTTCTTTCCCTGCCATGTCGTAAAATGTGGTGAAGCCATGCATCCGCTACATTTGCTCTTGCTCCAAAGCAAATGTCGGCCTTTCTAGTTGTGACATATGGTCTCCATCCTTAGCCGATTTCCTCTTTGATGTTAAACTCTAGATGTTGCCACGGGTGTGTGGGGCATGATGAAACTTGGAAACGTGTTTTACTGTGCATTGGGCTTTGGACTGGTTGTGATATCGCTATGTGTCAGCCTTGCGATCCTTGCACCTAGTCTTATACCTGGAAGTAAGGTAAATCAACAACTTAATATTATATTTTGATATATTAGACATATTTTTCTGAATGAGTAGAAGAAAAGTAACACTTGTGTTATCGTAATTATTTCTATTTGCATTTTAAATGTCTTATGCTGCCGGGGTTTAGATCGGTGATTATTTGTTGACATTTGTTTTTATTTCAACACGCAAAAAATACAATACATAGTGCTGACGCACTCAAGCAATATGCTTATATTGACGTCACCACTAGACATAAAATAAAAATTACATTACAAAACATGGGTATCGTCCAGGTAACAAGAAAACAGAGCTATTAAGATATTATAAACGAATACAGATGTATAAATCAGTTGTTAAATCGCTTAGTTTCAGAGAGATATAATAATGAGTATTTGAGAGTTGACTTTAGATGAAGGTAAAGGTGATCCATTAAGTACCAGGTACACAGTACCACTATCGGATAGGTTGTTATATCTAAGAATGGGATGTTTAATTTCTTGACATTTTACATACGTATTTATGTGGGCTGCTTTTCTACCATAACCTGTATAGTACAATGCAAAAAAAAAATATTTTATAAATGTTTCAAATGGTCAAGCTTTGGACACCAAGGCAATAAAATATAATCTTACATTAAATTCTAGCAGAAGTTGCGTCATGTAAACAACATTCCAGACAAGAACGTTACAAACATGAGGGGTATACATTCGGTGACTTGAATGAAGACTGTGTCGGGTGATACACAGTTATGCATAATTTCATGTAATAAATTACTCAGAAAATGAGATGGTGATCACCTCGACCCTAAAGCAGTCAACCAGTCCATGGTGGATATCACCCCACATGTAAATGCGGCTATAATATTGAAACAACATAACTATACCTTCCACACTGTACATGTAAACCTTATACTAGTCAAAGAAGCACCCTGTTACCATCTCCTTCCAACATAGTAGAGCTACAGCATCTCAATGACAGTTCGTTATGCTCCCTGCTGCTACTAGGATCCACATCACTTATACATTTACAAAACTTGTATGTATTTTGTCAATGTGTTGTACTCTTATGAAATAAAGACTAAGCTTTAACTCCCAACACTTAGACTGCAGAAATGGGACTTACCCCAAATTTTCGGTTGACTCCATCAACCTTGTTCACGGAATGGACCCGTCAACCGAAAATTTGGGGTAAGTCCCATTTCTGCAGTCTAAGTGTTGGAAGTTAAAGCCTAGTCTTTATTTCCTAATGACTTGTACCAACACAGATGAAGTTTCATGCTAAGTGTTGTACTCTTGTTTTGTGTTCTTGAGTGAAAGGCACAACATAAGCAACATGTCCCTTTGCCTAATACTCAATAAATATATGTGAATAAATAAATGTTTAAAAAAATCATCTTACAAGGAGAATCATCCATCTATCGTCTACTGGACTCCATCTTCTTCCTCAACGGAACCATTTACCAACACCAGCCACACGGCTGGGGCCTTACCCACAGCAACGTTCACATTTCTACCAACCGTTGGTAAGATATATTCTTAAAGGCATCCAGTGCGATTTCAGGGCAGCAAAACTGGAAATATTCTGACTAAGGCAATCTGTGTATGATATTGACACATTAGCAGATTATTTCAT